CCTTTATAAACAGAGAGCATTAAGCGTCTGTTTGTTCCTTGAGGTTATTAAAAAACAAACTCTATGATTTTTTTCAGGTATTATTTGTCTAAGTTTACTGCAGAACCGCTCCATGAATTACCAACTAGTTTTAAGGTGAAAGGCGCCTGTGTAAACTGACATCAAAATCCAGCTCTTCTTTAGCAAAGAAAAGGCTTTTCTCTGATTTAAAGCTTACACATCGTGAAACGGGTGCTCCTCTCCAAACTCCTTCAGATGTTTCTTCTGTTTTTTGGACAAATTGGTGAAAAGCTGTTTTTTCTGCCGCCGCTTCCCCATGTTGTTATCACACGTGTGAAGCACGCAGCTTCTTCTGTGTTTGTTGTGCTTGAGTTTGCTTCTTCATCGCCCCCTACAGGAGGAGAGGGGTACTACAGGCTTGTTCCTGTCAGGAGGATGATTTGATTAGGCTGTTTATAATCACTTTTGTTTGTATTCTATTGTATTTATTAAGCAGTAGACTTTTTTTATTTAAAGTTAGCGATTTAGAGGCAGAAACAATCTATATGATACTTTGTCCAATATTCTGCTGGGAAGCGATAAATCCTGTCCTTCATCAGTAAGGTGCTTCTTACCCTAACATTGATGCAGAGCATCATGGGAAAAGGATTCTCTAATAGCGGTGGGTTATTTTTAGAAAATACTTCAGCAATGGTTTAGGGATCTATTGGCAAAATAGTTTGGGCTTAGTAGAAAGGGAACTTAATATTCCAGATAAATTGGTCCTAATCATATCCCCATTCTGTGTTTTCTCATTACTGTGCTAGGTGGCTTTAGTCTTATTATTTGTATAACTTTTTTTACAATTAAGAAAAATGATGATTAATAATTCTTAATTTCAGGTGTTTAGAACTGATCCCAGCTAAAGGGTCTCTGTTTCCCCTCATTCCCTTTAAAAAGTGACTATATTTACTTAGTTAAGTTAAGATCTGGGATTTAAATCTAAGATTATAGACCAACTAATCATCTTACAGTGGCTCTTTAAAGGATTGGCAAGTAAACAGTCTTGGCTGTATTTAAGCTATTATTGTCTTAGTGTCTCTAGTGGTTTGGGTTAATCAGTTTGATTGATTGATTGACTTTATTGATCTCACAGTGGAGAAATTTACTCGTTACATCAGCTCAATAGTCCAAAAGAAGAAGGTGCCAAAAGGAGGAAAAGATGCATGGGATATATACAGTATATAGAGTGCTAGGGTTATTGCACAAGGTATTAAATGGGTATTTATATAGATACTTCTATTTATAAAAACACTGTTTTCCCTTATGGTTAAGACCAGAGGTTCCAGTTTATAATTTTCTGATCTATGAACATACACTATATTGCCAAAAGTATTTACTTACCACATTTTTTTAAATCAGGTGTTCCAATCATTTCCATGGCCACAAGTGTATAAAATTAATGATCTAGCCATGCAGACTGTTGTTACATACATTTTTAAAATAATGAATTTCTCAGGAGCTCAGAGAATTCCAACGTGGGACTGTTTTAGGATGCGACCTTTCCAAAAAATCCAGTTTTGAATTTTCCTTGCACCTAAATATTCAACAGTCAACCGTCAGGTGTATCTTAAGAAAATGGAAGTGTTTGGGAACAACAACAACTCAGCAATGACAGAGCCAAATAACGGAGTCGGGTCACAGAAGCTGAAGCCCATAGTAGAAAGAAGTCGGCAATTTTCTGCAAAGTCAATCACTATACAAACATCATGTGGCCTTCAGATTAGCTCAAGAACTGCATGCAGAGAGTTTCATGGAATATGTTTCCATGGTCGAGCAGCTGCACCCTCTACACATCACCAACTGTTATGTAAAGTGTTTGATGCAATGATGTGAGGCACGCCGCCACTGGACTCTAGAGCAGTGAAGACACATTCTCTGGAAGTGAATCTGGATATCTGATGGACGAGTCTGGCTGTGGAAGTGGCCAGGAGAACGGTACTTATCTGACTGCATTGTGCCAAGTGCAAAGCGTGGTTGGGGAAGCATTATGGTTTGGGGTTTATATTTTTACAAGAGCTGGGCTTGGCCCCATACTTCCAGTGAAAGAAACTCGGAGTGCTTCAGCATACAAAGACATTTTGGACAATTCCCTGGTCAATACTTTGTGGGAACAGTTCAGAGCTGGACCCTCTTTCTTCCAACATGAATGTGAACTAGTGAACAAAGTTGTTGATATCAATTGTCATTGACGTAACAGGACAAAAACAACTCCCTTCTAAAGTCACACCCCAACAACAAAGTTTATTAAAGGAAGTAGCTGGCATTCAACTTCCTGTTGGCAGAGGCCTGCGCTAGTGAAAAGCCTAGACTAAGTGCTTCTCAGCTGAAAGCTACGCTGAGTAGCAACCAAAGATAGTCTTGGTGAGATGAAGCTTCATGAGGCAATTTGGACAAATTTCTTCATCAAACAGATTTCATGAATCTCCATGTGAACACGTCACCATCTACTGGCATGACTACAGTTAGCTAATGTTATCTGTGATGTTTGAAATTTTTTTCTTGTTTTCTTTTCTCATTTAAGTGCCTTTGAAGGGCAATGATGAGCAAAATGTAAGGTGTTAGTAATTTGTATTGAAAAATATATATTTTTTCCACAGTTTTTGGTTTAAATCTGCTTGGAAGTTATATTTCCAACAAACCTTTTGTTGAAACAACAGATTTAATTGGGAAGTGTTTTTACCTAATCTGTATTGGTAGATGAGCAAACCAATACAATTGGTTACTTTGGCCAAAATACTGGTTAAGTAGTATAGCAACTTTCAAAAGACATGACTGGGTCTCGAACCAGTAACCCTTTGCCCAATCATAGGCAAACTCTTAAAGCAGACACCACTATAACGACTTCTTGGAGGTCATTTTGATCTTGAGTTTTTACTTATTGCACTGTCCTTGGACAGAAATGAGAGGAAGTTCACTCTTTAGATGACAGGCAACCCCTGACATGGATTATATTAGGAAGCTTTGACACTATGAGCTCCAGCTTTTCTTCTCTAGACAAACCGTTTTCTGGATCTCATGAAATGATGAGAAGGAGGATACATCAGTGAAAGAAAAACATATTCCATTCCTCTGTTTTCTATGTTTGTAGCATCTACAGAACCTTATGGTCTGTCCTGTCCTTCATGTTGTTCTTCAACAGAAGCTCTTAATGTCTGTATAGATTAACTTTCTTGCCAGTTTTGTGGCTATCCTAACAGCTAATTTTTTTATTTTTTTATTTTCTTTAGCTTAATAACATAAAAAACTATTTTTTTTACTCAGATAACTGGTGCTAAATGTTCATGCAAAGATCAACTAAGGCCACCTGTTGGCTTCCCCTGACTTTGCAAGTTATCAGACCATAGAGGATCCGACACAAGGTGTGTGCTAACCTTGATCAATTATTGAACGCCTTCATATCATTTTACAGTCTGTCCATTTTAGCTGTTACCATGACACAGGCACATCTATTATTGAGTGTTTGGGAGCGTAAAAGTTGCACTCAGAGGGTTTTTTTCAGTCCTTGGAGGATTCTTGTGTTGGATAAATGATTGGACCACCAATGACTTGGGCTGAAAGGGCCCCTTTTCTGAATGGGAAGTGATGTGTATAAGTGTGTTCTTGGACTTTGATGGATGGGCCAAAGCTGAAAGAAATGAGTGGTAAAACTGTCCGGTTCAGAGTCGCGTCTGCCAACAGTGGCCGTGTGCTGGCCGAGGTGTTCAAGGATGAAAGGACCTGGTGCAGCTCGGTTTCAGAATCTGCAGACTCGGATGGCACCGGCAGCACAGAGGCAGAGCAGGGAGGTCTGCCTCCGACCAGTGAGGCTAACAGGCACCTGAACGGCCTGGATGCTGCCATGGACGAAAACAACGGTGAGTCCGACGACCTGCTTCTGTATGCCAGTGTCAAGAGGGAGATGCTGTTCAGCAACAAGAGGGTCAATATCTGCAGTAAGAATGGGACCATCCGAGGGGTGAGGAACAAAGTGAGCGCAGGTCAAGTTCTTTTCAACAACCTCTCTAATATGTACTCTGTAAGTTGATCTAACATTATTCTTCTCATTTATGCCCATAAGTTTGTTTAACTCCATATGGAAATTACCTTTTTATTCTTTTATTAAAGGGTCGTCATCAGAGGAGGAGGCCCTGGGAAAAAGAGTGATGATTCATGTCCCCCTAAAACACCTTTGACACTTCTTAAGAGACTTATCTGATGCCAAGAAAGGAGCCACTATTGAGTTATTATTGTGGAATGTAAATTTTTAAACAAGATAAGAGAAATCAGCAGAATCAACTTTAAAAGAAAGTACATCAGTTTTCAACTCTAAGGTCTGTCTGGTTTTCATCAGTTTTTGCTTTCCTACATAAATGTCCAGGATGACATGCATACTATCTGTTTATTAGCAACTGAAAGCTAAAATGGGAAATCTGTAAGGGAATAAAAACAGAAAAACAAAGTAAACCCCAGTTGCTTTATAGAGAAACTTTGGGTTATTCTTTTTCCCAACATTTCAGGCAGCTGGGCTCATGTTTTTACTTTATATCTCCATCTCTCCTCCACAGCTCTTCAACAGTTGGCATCAGGTGTTTGTACTGATGTTTTTTTGTGGCTCTGTGCACCATGACAAAACTTCTCTCATTTGGTCTCATATGTACAGAGGATATTTTTCCTGCTTAATTTTCACCAGTCTTTAAAAAAAACAAAAAAAAAACATTAATATTCTTCTTTTCTGTAGAATTAAGGAGTTCGATTTTTTGTAGAAGTCAGCCGAAGCATATCCAGATACACAGCCTGTGCTCTCCAGATCAGCACAATGACTGCATTTCTGGATAGATAGAGATGTTGACACTGGTAATGAGGAAATGTGTTTAACAGCACCTAATTACAAGTTTCCCTCCTAAAAACCCATGGAAGTATTGAGGCTGTATGTTAATTTATGTTCCAAATATATTGGTTAAAATCCTAAGATACAAAGAAATTCTTGATACTTTTAATCAGAGTAATAAAAGTATTATTTTCTCAAATAAATATTAACCTTATACATCTAACAATCAAACAGTGAGAAAATATTTTATGCTTTCAATGGGCTTTAATGGTTTTTCACTAATAAACCATACATTCATATTGACATATATTAATATTGATAATTGACAGCTGTGTTTTGTTCACTGATGTTTCATTGGACTAATGCTAGAACCTCTTTAAAGGTGTAATTTGTTTTAATACACTCTAATCTATAGATGAAAAGGAAGAATTGTTTTTCGTTTATGAATTCTCCTTATCTTTATGATGCTATCTACAAATATTCATACCTGAAAAGGATTGAGAGATAAACAGATATTCCAGTAATCACCATCTCCACTATCTGAAGAGTCATTATATTGGTCATAATATTAATATTGCTAAATAATAACTCAACATATATTATTTTCTGGAAGTTGAACAATGTATCCACATATTTTGAGTGATATGAATATTTCATAAAAATTGTTATTTCCAAAGACTTTTAAACCTTTTAAAACTTTTGTTTCATTCGGTTATTTTTTAAATGTATCTAAATTCTTCTCAAGGCTTTTCACACAGCAAACAGCTCCGACGTATAACAAGTTGCATTCATCAAATCAGTTTGATCTGATGCAGAGGCTTTTAATCAAAAAACAGAAGGCCTTTTTTGTATTTTACTGTGCTCTTTTGTAAAATGTGACCAGGGAGTCATGAGACTTTGTCATACAGGATCTAGTTGATATGTGAAATGATTTTATAAACATTTTGTAATCATGCTGGATAAATGTAAAAATGTATTTTAGATTGCTTAGAGTTTCCACTGGTTTAGTTTGGTGATTTATTTTCCAAAACACACATTAAGTTCATGTAAACCGATGTTGTCAAAAGGTCTGTTTTAGAAATGCATTGTTTGAATGAGTAATTACAATTAAAATTTGGTATAAAAAATAAAAGAGCAAGAAGATTAAGTTTCTTGTCATTCATTTTAAGCATTCTTTTATAATCAAATTAAAAAGAACCCACCAGTTAAAATACATCGATCAGAATATTTTCTTTACACAGATGGCCAATAAATTCCTGTTTTGATCAAAACATGATAGGAAAATAAGTACAGCTACTAGAAAGACATTTTCAAACTATCGTGTTGAATTTCATTTTGTTCTTTACTGCATTTAGAAAATGTCTAAAAATGTGATCATTCAGCCATTAAATGTCTTTCTCGTTTCTGTATAACCTGTGATAATAGGAGGCTCATTTTGAGGGATTATAAGAAAAGACATTACGGTACAAAAAAAACCCTACAAATCCTAAACATGTGGCAGCAACCTCCTATTTGATTCTTTTAATGCAAAGGAGCAATGGATGATCTCTAAAGTCATCATCTTATCTTTGCCCTACTGAAAAAAAGAAATGATTTAGGTACTTGAATCTCTCCTTCTCTTGGTCTGTGCTTGATGTTTGAGACATATAATGATGATTACTCTTGTAAAATGGATAAACACACATTCTTAATCTTGAGTATTTCTCAACATTCATAAGGAATTAATTAAAACAGCAGAAGAAGCCAGGAACTAAGCACGAACCAGGGGATCGGTCACTGAGATGATTTTTGCACCAAAGGAAGAGAGTTCAAAAGTTATCTTCCAGCTTCAGCTAATCCATCAATCAGGCTCTAAATCTGGGTGCAGTGATAGCTTTAGACCTGAACCTTCATAAAGACAGTGACAAAGTCAGTGTTCTAACTTCAGGATTAAAGGACTAATGATTCAGTAAGGCTTTGAAAAACTAGTTCATGTGTTCATCTTTAGTAGAATTGATTACTGCAATGGCGTGTTGACAGATCTGCCTAAAAAAGTGAATGAGACAGTTGATCCAGAATGCTGCTGCCTGCGTCCTCACTAAGTGGGGGACATCAGCCCAGTTCTCAGGCTGTTACCTTAACTTGTTTTTTGTTTTTTTTAACTAAATGAACTGCAGCTAAGTGGGGATGTGAACAGAGGTCAGAAAAAATGATTTATGGACACATAATGAAAATTAAATAGAAAATTATTTAAAAAAAACTAATCAAATGTGTATTTTAACTAGTACAATTAATAAAAAACAATAATTTAAAAGTGTGAACCAAATGAAACAAAATGTGCAATAAAGCCAAAATCCTCAAATAAAGGTCCTTCAATAATAACTCAACAACCCCACCCCCATCCCCACCACCACAACCTACACCATCGTAGCATCTCCAGACTTCCGGCATCACATTAACGCAGAGCCTACTGTGTATGTAGTATACAACTATATACTGTATGTTGCATATAGTATATTGTATGTCTTATATTGTATATAGCTTTGTCAGAGTGGGGGTGGAGGTTTGACAGGACTCAAATGCAGAACAAAGCTTGAGGTGGTTACTTAAAGGTTTTAATGATAAAAGTTTAACATGAGCAAAAATCCAAAAATATAAATCCACAAAAAATCCCAAAAATCTCAAAAGCAAGAATACTCACAACAAGAACGGTGCAAAGTAATGATCACAAACCAGCAAAGAGTGACTGAACAGGAGGAAATTATATGGGAGAGAGAAACGAAGACCAGGCTAATTAGCAGATTGGGAGCAGGTGTGAACAGAGTCAAGAAGAGAGCTAGGGAAAATGAGACTGACACAAGAGGGCAAACAGGAAATATCTGAGAACTCAAATACAATCCAAAAATATCTAGAACAAAACAATCTAAATAAGACCAAAGAAAACTCAAAATAAAACTTGGACTAAACCAAAACCATGACAGCTATAGATTCTGCATTCTGTATGTATATCTATTTTGTCTGCAGCATCAACCAAGTCAAATTCCTTGGCGATAAACTTTATTCTGATTCTGATGTTAGTAATAGTTAGGTTAGGGTAAAGGTCTCGGTTAGGTAATATAAAATGAATGCAAGTCAATGAAATGTCCCCCTAAGTCACAAAAACAAGCTGGAGTACCCGGAGAGAACACAGACATGCATGAGGAGAACATTCCATGCAGAAATAACCCAATCGAACCCATTGAACCAACTGCCTTGATCTTTCCGAGATTTTTTAACAATTAATTCTCAGCAATAACAACCAAAACGCGTAACATTCATAAGGAATGAATGTCTGTGTAGCGATTTTTTTCTATTACTGAAATCAGTCTAAATGTATTTATATTAAGCTGCACCTGTAATAGGTGAATCAAACTGGATCAGAGATGGGGATGGGCGTTCCCTTTAAGTCGCGGATTTATGCAACATCATCCCACCTGCCTCAGCTGCAGGCAGCCGTGGACATCGGACCCCACGCACCGTGGATCCAGAGCGGGCCCCGAGGGACAAGGCACCATACGTTGGTAATGACGACCAGCTAATCCTGCATCATCTCCCATCATGTCACTGCGGCACTAACAACTGAGGCGGGATGCTGCAGGAACACCTCCTCCTCCTCCTCTCCATCCTCCTCCTCCCTGCCTCCACAGGAGCGCTGTTGTTTTTGGACTCTCCTGTCGCTGATGTCCGATGCAGAGACTCGTATGGGATGAAAGACTGCAGAGGAAGATAAAAAAGCAGCGAAATCCCTCTTTGGTTCCTCTCCACGCCTTGTATTGTTGTCGGTCACCATGTCTCCCCCAGCCTCTGCTGCGACAGCCAGTGAAAGCAGCACCACCACCGTCTATGAGGAGGACACCAGGGAGGAGGTGAGAGTCTGTTTTAAACCGTTTTAATGAGCTTTTGGGGCTTATATAGCATATGCATTATCTACAACCTGCAGATGGAACCATGAATATTTGTTAAATCGACTGGTTTCCATCAGTGGAAAAGAGTGTAGGTATTCAAGTACTATATACACCTGCATGTCACCTGTTATTTGCTGTTGAAGGCCTGTTGTTTCTCAAAAACTACAGTATGATCATTAAACTCACATTGCATGTGTGCATCCTTTTTGTCCAGGTATCTTACTTCAGAAAAAACAAAGTGCACTCTGTTATGCACAAGTATTGAAAACTAATAGATTATTTAATTTATTTTTGTTTAATTGGGATTTAATGATAGATTAAATTCCAAAGAAAAGTTTTTTTTTTTAGGGCAATGGCTTAGTCAGTGTGTCAAATAACAGATTCTCAATTGGATTTAGGTTGAGGCTTTAACTAGCCCGTTCTACACCACTTCATTGCATCTAGTTTAAACCTCCAGGTCAGTTGTTCCTGGGCCCTGTTAAGGCTCCTGTATGGAAGATTTAATATTATATATATATATATATATATATATATATATATATATATATATATATATATATATATATATATAAATATTATACGCTCAGACAAATGAGCAGTAACTGATTGGTCACTTTAATCTATTTCTTTCTTCTTTTTGTTTTACCTTTACCGTTTTATTTCAACATTGATTTAAACTACCTTTAACCTCAGTTGTGTTGCGACAGGTTCCCAGTTTTAGAGGTGTACTGATTGTTTTCTGGCCGACAACAGATTTTCAGAAAGCCTGACATCCTGATTCTAATTTTGACCGATACTGGTATTTTATTATAGTTTTATAAGCTCACAACTCACTCTAAATGTTTCCATCTGATTTAATGGAAGAAAAAAAACTACCTGTGAAACAATAAACACTGATTTTAAGTGCAAAGGATAGAGCTTTAGAACGAACGAAAAGTAATGAGCAATGACATTGGTTGTTGCAGTCAGTTTTGCATCTAAAATCAGTCCACTGCTCATAATTAAAGGAAAAGTCCGGTCAGCAAGGAATAATCAATGGATTATTAGCGATGCCTAAGACTAATACGTTTGTGGTGATCGAATGAATTTAGCGTTAATCAGTGAAAAAATAAAAATAGTAATTTTCATCGTGATCACTGAGTCTGGAAGCGGGCATTTTTCCCCAAATATAGTAACAACTCACTCCTCACATTTTCATGCAGTGACATCACGGTGCGGTAAGCCGAGCGCCATTTTCCTGCTTTACAAGCAAAATCAAGGGAAGCTACTAGATACATCTGCAATCAATAACAATAATTTAACATTTTGAGAGGACTTCACCATTGAAATTCGCGAGAGCTATAGTAAAACTGACAATGCCCACATGATGGCATTTGGATTTTGTAATACATCACTAAAAGAGAAAAAAAATAATTATTTATTTCACCTTTCCGATTCCTGATCCTCCAAGGACGGGTTTGTCATTGGATTTCCAACTTGGAGAGGGAGGATTTGCGATCGAACTTCAGGCCAGAGAAAAAACATAATATGTAGCCAACATTTCGAAGAAGAATGTTTTCAAGATGACTTGGATTATAGCGCTTTGTGAAAAACACCAGATACAGCGCTGGGACTTGATCAACAGCCGATACCGCACCGTGACGTCACAAATCGGTAGGTGTAGTGTTCTTTGACAAACATGGATGTCTCCAGTAAAGCACAGTCAAATGAAAACTTTTCATTAAAAACACATATCATTTATTGAACAGTATGTAATAATTTATTTCTAATTAAAATACTTTCAGAAGTTTGTATTCTGAATATGGTTGGACATTCGACATTTCCTTAAGAAACTCATGGCCAAATAGTTTTTGTAACCAAATCAATTAAGAAATCAATCAATCCACCAATAAGTCAGTCATCTGAAAATGTTCACGTCCGGAATAAAGATTTGGTATAAAAAAATAAGCAAATTAAGATGACTTTTTCAGAATATACATTTTTTGTGGTCCAAAAAATCTGGTTTATGTTGACACCTGGTTTGAATGTAACCCAGACTTTATAGAAAGCGATGATAAGATTGAGGGCCAACATGATCTCTGGAATAAGTTCTAGATCTGACCAGAGGTTTCGTCAAAGTGATTGCTTCTAGAGCAAGTGTAGAGTGGTGAGGTAACCGTGGACAGATTCTCAAACCACCTCAGCTTCTTGGCCTTATCTCTAGGACAGAGGAAGCTCATTTTAGGCTCTTTAATCCAGAACTCGTGGATAAACCCGTGAACGGATAGCTTTGGTTTTTAGCTCAGCCTCTTTTTTTCACCATGACAGATTGGAGCAGCACCTCCATTACTGCAGACAAAGCCTCAATCCCTTCATCTCTTCCCCTCTACATCCTGCCACCACTCATGAATAAGATGGCATGAATACTACTGATGAGGAATTAATTCCTCTGATTAAGTTGTGTTGTAGCAAAGACAAAATTATAACCTGCTGAGGAGAGCGGCTCTACCGTACCAGGACTGTGAGAGAGACTAGAAAAAAGAAACATTGTGGTAATCGGTAAACTAAAGGAGTGCAGTAAAAGATTTACAGAGAAAAAAAAAACCATGAAAATATCTAAAACGAACCATAAACAAAAGGATAAAACATTAAAAGGTCACAAAAATAAACATATGTTATATCTCAGTGGTCACTTTGACCCGTGCCTTCAGGTCTGCCCTTTTTCAAAGAGCTTCAACAAGTATTGCAAACAATCCTCTGGGGCTTAATGTTTTGCTGCATTCACTACCTTTATTTGACATTAATCAGGCTAGAAAGATTTAAGTACACACAGAAAGTTGACTGGGGCTGGGAATCGAACCCGGGACAGATAAACGGAGGAGTGATGGCCTCCAAATATGCTTGTGCAAATACGGAGACATAGGGCCATTTAATTCAATTAAAATTTAAAAATACCTCATTAATTATTAAGAAATATTAAATTTTTTCAGTAAACATGTCACTTTAAATTTTTATTTGACAAGTTGATTTACGTGTTGATAGCTGAAGGCTGGAAGGATCTTTTGTTTTGGTTTGTTTTGCTTCGGATCTGGAGAAGCCTCTTTCTGAAGACAGTTTGTTGTTTAAAAATCTTCTTTGTGAAATAATCTCCAGAGGTTCCAGAGTAGTTAAAGATCCAAGGTTCTAAGGAAGTACAGTCTCCTCTTTCTATTCTTGTGGACAACTTTCTAGCCTCCTCTGCTTCTGAAAACTACAATCATCTCCCTTGTTTTGTTGACATTAAGGATCTGATTATTCTTTCCACACCATGCCACAAAGCGCTTCGCCAGCTATCTGTAATCAGCTTCTTGTCTATTTTTCACTCACCCAAATGTCTGTAAAGTCATCTGAGTATTTATATGGATAACAGGACTCTGTCTGGTGCTGGAAGTCAGAAGTGTACAGTGTAAAATGGTGAGAGTACTGTCCCCTGTGGTGCTACTAATTAATCACTTCATTATACAGTTGACCATTCAGTCTTGCAAATTATGGTGTAATTGTTAGGTAGTCTTTGAAGCAGGTGTATGATGGCATATTCAACTCCAAAGCGTTAAGTGGGGGTTTTGATAGTTGCTTGTTTTTCTTGCTCAGCTGGACCATGAGTTGGCAGGAATTTGCATGTTTTCTAAGCCACGCTCTTTTGTTTGGGCCACTTTATAAGCATGGAACTCAACGCTACTCCAGACATTTTGAATTGAGAGCACTTTCTGGATGGGAAGCGAAACGTCTTCAACCTTGGAAAACAAAGTCTAATGGTTTGTTTTTTACTTTTTGGAAGAGTTGGAGGGAGGTCTCCCACGTCACTAGAACTGTCTCCTGGCTAAAGTTGAAGAGGTGCTATAGAATCCCACAGAGCTGCTCTGCACAGGCCGTCAGGACTCTGGGGCTGACGCCATCAGGCTGTGGTGACTTATTGTGATTCAGTCTCTCTAATTGCCTTCTCACTTGACTTCTAGAGACAGGGAGTTGGAAGAGGGATGAAGCAGCCCAATTTTCCAACTTTATTACATGACAGAGGTGGAAGTTGAAACATTTGAGTTATAAGAGGAAAGCTTTGGGTCAAAGGAGGGCAGGATTTCAATTTGATTTTGGGCAGGAGACCACATCCCAACTAAAGAGGCTCCATTCGATTGTAAAAGAAGGTGACAATGTAAGCTGCTTGGGTCAGTGAATTCATTGTCATATTCAAGAAACCAGATTAAGATGAACTGAGCTTAAGGACAGGAAGCATCATCCTGTTTGAAGTATCCATCATAGCAGATGAGTGTAATTTCGTTATTAAGGGTTGAATATGATCGTCAACAATACTTAGATTCAGTATTTAAATTATGTATTATTTATTAAAGGCAATAAGTATCAATGCTTTTTAAAATGTGGTTTATACCTTGTTTGCTTATTCTCTGTAAAGCAGTGTGGTTTTCTGCTACTTTAGCCAGTCTGCTCTATTTTGTAAAGCAATAAGAGTTGGTAGCCCAGAAACATGCCCATTCTTCTCTAACGTCTGTCGTAAACAAAGCATAACCATATAACCGCTATTCACTAGATATATTGTCTTCTTTTGGTCTGTTTTCTTTAAACCTTAGGTGGTTGTNAACGTCTGTCGTAAACAAAGCATAACCATATAACCGCTATTCACTAGATATATTGTCTTCTTTTGGTCTGTTTTCTTTAAACCTTAGGTGGTTGTCAGTGTTGGGTAAGTTACTTTAAAAATGTAATCCGTTACATTCACAAGTTACCTTGTTTAAAATGTAATTGTAGTGTAACTTTTTCAATTATTTTTAAAAAGTAAGGTAACTAATTACTTTTGATTACTTTTTGATTACTTTAAGGTTTTAATGAGTATTGACCCATGTTCAACATTTAATTTTTGAGAACTGAATGTGAACCTTAAAAAAGCACTAAGCTGAGAGGGAACTGCTGACAGGCAATCACAGGATGTCCATAAGAATAGATGCCAGCACCAGGGATGTAAGATTTTCTCAGACTCCTCTCATCGGGCCATACTCTTTTCTGTTCCTCCCCCAGGCTCTACCATTTACGCAGTTTGCAGACTAACACAAGCAGGTTCAGAAATCACTTCTTTCCTACAGCGGTCATAGACATCGATAAACGTTTGTCATGCATCAACACCAAACAGTCAAATATTAGTAAATCAATACGCTTCGTCTATCAGTGAGTTGCACTTACCTCTAAATGTTTCCTCTGGTTTGACATAGATCGCTTCGACGAGGACAAGTTCTTGATAGCCGGCAAACACTTCTTGCACTGCACAGTTAAATTTGAGCCATTTTCACAGATGTAAACGAAATGCTCCTTAAATTTCCAGTGCTGGACGGCTGTCATTTTTGATGCGCTGCTTGAGCTGAAATAGAACCGTCCGCTCGCTTGCTATTCCTCAAGGAGGCTCCACCAACACAGGATGGATCATCAGAGTGGCAAATATGATAAAGACAAGGAGCCGTAGCGGGAAACGGCAATACAGGGCGCGAAGCAATAAAAATATCATTACATATTTCGCAAAGGGTTTTCTTTATATTTAAAAAAAAAATTTAACTAAATTTGTCATTTTTAATATTTTCGGAAGTAACTGTAACTGAATTACATATTTTCTCATTGTAACTGTAACGAATTACAGTTACTCTTTTTTTGTAATTAAATTACGTAACGTCGTTACATGTAATCCGTTACTCCCCAACACTGGTGGTTGTACATGAAAATACCAGTAGATGACACATTTTGAGGTTGTTTATTAGTGTAATCCACTTTCTTCAGCATTCAGAACTTCTCCAAGTCACTGTCATCAGGCCTAGAAGTCTAAATATGTTGCCTTGCAGTCGGGTCTTTATGTGATTCTTCTTGTGTTCACAAGCAGCAGAACAGAGCTCCCTAATAGTGTGACCAGTAGATGTATAACATACAGAAATTTGAAACAGATATTAATATTTTACCCCACGCCTCCGTTTAATGTTTTTTTTTTTTCTTTTTACAGCAAAGACCCCTGAAGCAATCACTGAGCAAGTCTTTATGTCGTGAGAGTTTCTGGAAATGCCTGCTCCTGTCTGTTCTCATGTACGGCTGCATGGGAGCTATGGTCTGGTGCCACGTCACCAAGGTGACCAGGCTCACCTTTGACAGCGCCTTCAAAGGGAAGTCCATGATGTACCACGACAGCCCTTGCTCTGATGGATACATCTACATCCCCCTCGCCCTGTTGGGTATGCTCTACCTGGTGTATTTAGTGGAGTGCTGGCACTGCCACGTGAAGAATGAGCTCCAGCACAAAGTGGATGTTGAGAGTATCTTTGAGCGCATCCAAAGGATGCAGCAAGCAAAGCCATGCATCTGGTGGAAGGCCATCAGCTACCACTATGTGCGCCGAACTCGACAGGTAACTCGCTATCGAAACGGAGATGCTTATACCAGCACTCAGGTGTACCATGAGCGTGTCAACACCCACGTGGCCGAGGCTGAATTTGACTACGGTCACTGCGGAGTCAAAGATGTTTCCAAACAGCTTCTGGGCCTGGAGAAGTGTCCTCTCACTAAGATGAGATTTACCAAGTGCTTTAGTTTTGCCAACGTGGAGTCTGAGAACTCATACCTGACTCAAAGAGCCAGGTTTTTCACCGACAATGAGGGCCTGGACGACTACATGGAAGCCAGAGAGGGCATGCACCTGAAAAACATCGACCTAAAGGAGTACGTCATGGTGCTGACCGACCCGGAGCACCACCCCTGGTATCTGTCCCAGTATGTGTTCTGGTTTGCTTCCTTCCTCACTTTCTCCTGGCCTCTCCGGGTCTTCACTGAATACCGCACTGCTTATGTTCACTATCGTGTTGAAAAGCTTTTTGGTCAAGATTACCTTCCTGTTACCCCGTGTGACGATCGGCCATATTGGCGCCGCATCCCCCGTGTCAACACCATTGACAGTACAGAGCTGGAGTGGCATATTCGCTCAAACCAGCAGCTGGTTCCCAGTTACTCAGAGGCCGGCCTAATGGATCTGGCCCAGTGTCCAAACAGCTTCAGCGGGATCCGTCAGAACTGTGAGCGCTGCCACCGGGCCATCAGCTGCTCCTCTGTGTTCTCCAGGAGCGCTCTCAGCATCTGTACCGGCGCCAGCTCCCGCATCCCATTCAGTGGCAGTCGCTTCTCTCTAGCTCGCCGTTACGGCTCCCAGCGAAGCTGCCTCTGGAGGAGCGGCAGCTTGGATGACCAAGAGAGCCCCAGCGAAAACACCCGGTGCCTGTCAGAGCGCCTCGCCACGGACGACGAGGAGCCTCCACACTACGACGACGCTCTATGCTACCCGGTGCTCATTGTCCACTGTAGCGAGAACTGCCACAACCACAGATCTTTCCACAGAAACGGCTCCTGTGTGGAAACGTCCTTATGAGAAATACATTGACACCTCTGTAGCATGCATTCACAATGAATAACAGAAAAATGACTGAGTTCTCATTACGTAAACCGCCAAAGCAATAAGAGCGGTCTGCTGGCGTACAGTAGAAGAAAGAGGAAAACTAAATCAGATCAACTTCCAATGGCAACCAAGGAGACAAAGACTGTTACACTGTCATCACCATATCTAAGATTTGAACACAACATATGAAGCCTAAACCTTCAGTTACCTCATAAGGCGGTTGAGATAACTCCAGTCATGTTTCCTCATAGATGGATAAAGTGGGGGTGAATTTGACTTGCAGCTACAGCAATAACAGTGACAACAACAAATGAGGAAAATCCAGTAAAGACAATGTTTATGCTCATCACAGAGATGCTGATCAATAAAAAAAAGTTCCAAAATCACCAAGACAACTTATCACTTAGAGATAAAGCATTTCTCATTCTTCTAAAGTGCTGTAATTCATGTTGTAAATCATCATCATCATCATCGGTTTTCCAGAAAGCCTTTTACATCCAGACAACATTTCGTTGTTGAGCAGCTAAATGCAATAACACAAACCTCTCCTGTAAATTCACAATCATCCATATTCAAACAGAAATACATAGTCTGAATCATTTTTGTTCTAATTATAATTTCTGCTGCCTACTGCCACGACTGAAGCTGACAACTTGTGCTACTAACCAATCAGGTGGACAAAAAAGACAACAAAAAAATGGTTTACCAAAAAACCATCAGCACATTTGAGCAGATGGATGTTATCTGTGAGCCAAATCTAAGCATGGTGGAAAGATCTTAACAAGATGAAAGCCATGTCTAACATTGCATGATCTCCTACTGCTAAGACACTGTGTTAAGAAACCATAAAATGTACATGAATGTAAACCACCAGCATTATTAACTGTATGTCCATTCTGTGTGCATAGTGAATGAATAATACTCCATTTCCTACATGTAAAATGGGTATTTTACAGTCTGATATAACAAGAAAAAACAAAGATGCACTATAGTGGTGCGGATGGAAACTTTTTTTCAGTGTTTCAGTGGGTTTTACAAACTGTTTATGCAAAAAAAAACATCAATGCACTTACATTAAGACATGCAAAAATCAACAAATCATACAATATGGATTAAACAAACCATCTTATACAGATATATTGTATGCATTCTACTACATAACAGCTTGTTCTTTCATTGTTTTAAATAATGTAGGGACATCAGTATTATGCATATGATGCAACTAGACACTATAACCCGTAGTGGAGCAGAATGTTGATGAAAATTATTTACACACACACAAAAGAAGTAAATATTCTAAATTGGCAGTGTTGATATAATAAAGTGGGCTGTATTTATGAAACAGATTCTCTTGTCCAGTATATTTGAATTTGAAATAAGGTCAGCAAATGAAAACTGCAATAAATGTCCGGGACTCTCCCGTTGTGTGGTTATAAATAATGCTGGTGCTTTTATTGACCGGTGGGTAATTCAAGACTTGTTTTTTTCTTTTATCCCCCAGATGGTTGTATGCATCAACTAAAAAAAAAAACAACAACAAAAAAACCCACCTTGACTTACTTTAACAGCTTAAAAAACATTCATTTGAAAGCAATCACTGAACCAATTTTTTGGAAGAATAATGGAAAAGGAAACCAGTCAAGGAAAAATATCCAGGGTTCTCAAATACCATTATGGTATTTGAGTTTAAAAAATAAAAACACAATTCTGATTATTTTTATTTGTTTCTAACAGGCAAAAAAAAAACCAGTGGATTTGTATATTTTTGTGAAAGTTTGGGGTTTAATTGTGCAATACATTTGTACGCAGAAATCAAATTTCCAGTATTCAATATTCCACCAAACATCTACCTCAAATTTCAAGACAGTTCCTGTCACTTTAAAGGGCTCAGACAGCTGCAATAATTAACTTTTTTAAATTCATTTTTGTGTGTCCCTTACATTCTACACATATATTCACCAACCTCTGTAAGCATTAGTGAACAGGTTGCTTCAAAATAATAAAAGCAAAGAAAAACAATTGTATTGCAAATAGTAGACTGTTAATGAACACAGTGTTTAGCTTATCATACTGGTTTTCCAGTTACCGACTAGAAAATGTCATTAAAAAAATCTATGTTCCTACTTAAGAGGTAAAGAAGTAGCCACAGGCTTCTGCTAGTTAACTGTGGTTTCATCCATACAATATTAATAGTTAGGGATGCACGATATAATCAGCCTTAAAACTGAATATCGGACATGGGCCACCCCACCGATATTTAACCCGATATTTGATCAGCTTCTGAGTTTCTAAAGTCTAAAAAAATAAAATAAAAAAATACTACTTCTTCTTCTTCCTCAAAAACTTCATTTCACAGACTTAAAAACTTCTAAAGACGAGGGAAAAAATATTGATACATTAAAATATCACAATATCTTCATATGCTGATATATTGCCATTTAAAAACACCATATCGCGAGAGTTTGTAACAGAACGATGAAATTTCACGAGATTTTGAAAGTAAAATAGATCGATACCGCGTTTTTAAAAATCAATTTGATATCAGCATATGAAAATGTATTGGAGTATATTATTTTTCAAAGTGTCAGAAATGGATAACAAAACTGCTATTTTCCATGACTACTTATTTTTGTCCAGCTTTAACATCGGTATCGATATCGGTTATCGGCTACATGAGTTTTAAAATATCGGCATATCGGATATCGGCCAAAATCCCAATATCGTGCATCCGTATTAATAGTTATTCTCTATTTCTAGTGGATAAAAATTTTAAATATTGATTTACTTTGTAAATGATTTGAATTTGTTGAACAGAAGGCTTTCCAGTTGTACTTTTACCTCTTTCTAAGAACCTTTGGGATAAAGTGTAAACGAATCACCAAGGAATTAATAAAACTCAAGCCGGCCAGTAACAGGAAAATGTTTTTATAATGTGTTGGAACAACGTTACTTTAGGGAATCTAGTTTAACATCAGCTGATTCCAACATGCTCAACTAAAAGCTTCTTCTATTAACAAGCAAGATTCTTGTGCAGAAAAGGTTTTGCCATCACATTAGACCAATATAAAAAATCTCAAACATGAAAATATATCTGTGTAGTATGCTGACAAGCCAGGCCTGTGCAAAAAACCTCTACCAGTTATTAAAAGAATGGTGGTCAAAAATCTAACTATAATTTAACCAAAAGCAAGTGCTTACAACTACAGAATTTAAAGATAGACCTCATTGATCTCCCAGTAGAGAAATTTACTAAACTCACTAAATTTGATCCTGTCTAGATTACAGATATCCATACAAATTAATAGATGTGCATCCAGTTTTGTTTTTAATTATCATCAAAGTTGCATGTTGTATACCCTGTCAATTTAGTGCATGACTGTTGAAAAAATAATTGGAAACTAAAATAAAAATACATAATATGTCCATGATCAGTTTCTAAACGTCTGACTGCACGATCTAACCTAAATAGTGGAGAAAATAAACTAAATAAATTAATAAAAAAATAACGATCTATTTGGGTTTCCAAATATTTTTTGTCCTGCAATAAGAAAACAAGACGTAGTTACACTGTGATTCCCCGTCCAGGCGATAGGGGGCAGTAGATTTAATACTGCTTCCACACAAACATCACTCTCACAAAAAGTCGACGAAGTCCAGAGGCATGAAAGGTTATTCCTTAGGTGAGTGTGTGCTACAAAAAAACAGTTTTGTTTTAAACTATTAGAAAGCTTTTAAATTGTTGTATTAATGCTTAAAGCTCCTGGATTGTTTTAGTTGTAATTAACGTGCGCTCCACGTGAAGAAGCGTTAAGCTATCCTTGCCCACTTCCTGCTCAAAAGGATTTACTTAACATCATGCAGCTGTGTTGAAAAAAAACTGTTGGATTTACTGGGGAAAACTACACAGGCTTTTTGCAGGGTTAGAAATCGCAATATAACAATTTATTATCGGTTGTTGTTTTGACGGATTGCTAATATAGTCAACTTCCGGTCGCAATTCAAAATAAATCGATGAGCTTTTGGTATTTGCTTTTAACGTTAGTATTTTTTGGTGTATAATTATTCAACATTTGGTTGAGATCTCTAAAGATTTTTTTGATAAATTATTTTGAAAATATTTGAAAAAAGTGACACAAACCCTGTTAGAAATATGCGAGGCTTTTATTTTGAAGGAATGGTATGCATAGCTCTTTATCCAGCATTTTTCTGTAGCGTTGATGTAATTTACAAGCTTCATATATATATGTATATATATATATACCGGTATATATATATATATATATAATTAAATGAAACCTTTTCATGCCTGAGAGCATAACAAAATAATAATTAATGTGGAGATGCTCTGACCCAGTCATAAAGCAATCAATTTGGTTCTGATAAACTCAACTCTTCTGCTTGCTCTTTCCAGCATCTAAAACAATAATCTTAATGACAAAAATATTTTTTTGCTGCCCAATATATATTGTATGAACGGATGAAATTATGGTGATAAAGATTTTTTTAATGTGATTTCTTTTGTGCGTACACAGCAACGGCAGGAGAAAAATCTATCAAAGGTAAACACAATAAAATCTTTTCTTTAAAACAATAACTAAACACAAAGCAACATTTAAAAAGTTAACAAAAAAAACGTATTGAATAACAGCTAAAACATTCATGTTCAACTCGTGATATGGAACTAGTTTAAGAAATATTGGCTAAAGTTTGGTGGTCTGAAAGCTCAGAATATGATCCTCTTCAATAAAAACAAGCAATTACATAAACTGGATCCTCATATGGACAGAAAGCCAAAGGAGATATGGATATTCATTGAAAGAGGAATTTATAAAGATGAAAACTAAGTGTTTCAGCACACATTGGCTCCTACAAAACCTGGTTAGTATGATTATAGAATTTCATACTGAGATCATTTCTGAAGTTGTGTTTTTTTTCCAGTTACTGGTTGGAGCGCCAGCATGCAGAGTCTAGTGCTGCAGGTAATTGCTATGAAGCAGATTGGACGGCTGAACCCTCGTCACCTGCTGGCAGCTGGTTATGGCACAAGGAGGACTGAGTGGTGCCCCAGGACAATTCATACCCGGCAGCTGTGGGGTTGCTCGACTTTCCCCAGTCTAGGTGGTCAACGGACCGCCACCAAAACCTGGTCTTTGCACCAGCTGCGTTTTAAAAGCAAGAGGAAATCCCCTTCACGCATGGCACAGGAGCAGGAGGAGGCAGAGGAGGAAACTGACCCAGAAGAGAGTGATTATGAAGATGTAGATCCTAATTTACCAAGGGACTATAAAGACATGGAGAAATATGTACCGTCTTTCCGCTATGACGTCGTCTTAAAAGCTGGTTTGGATTTGGCACGCAAGTAAGTCACCTCTTAATTTTGGATATTTCATAATTCTACCTAAGTTTGCAGAGCTGCTTCTGATCCATTTCTTGTCAAACTAATTTAAAACATCTGATGATGTGAGCATTGACAAAAAAAGCCAGACACAACTAAACCCTAACCGCTCAACTGATACTAGTTCATCAGAAGGGCTTAGCGCAGTTCAGTTCTGGCTCAGTTCATAGATAACAAAGAACGCATGAGCAGACCATGTCATTTCCTATTTAGTCAGCTTCTAGTAGTGTGAAGTAATGCACATCAGTTGCTTGCCAACCACCACAAAATAGAAGAACTGTAAGCAACAATCGAAATCTTCTCGACACTACATTTTTAAAATGGCTTCAAAAGAACGTGGTGCGGCCTGGGATGACGCTGAGACTGAGGCTGTTACTGCAATTTGGGCAAGGACGCTATCCAGGAAATGTTGGAAAGAACAAAAAAAAAATCACGCAAGTTTTCTTACTAGAGAGCAGTAGTACCGCCGACCGTCACTAGGATGCGAGGAACTGTGCCACTGTGATGTGTAAATGGTCGTAAGGAACTGAGCACGGCATGGTCAACTGATCCAAGCTCGGTCCGAGCTCGGCACGAATCGGTTTTCAGAGGGTAGCGTAAATGGGACTATTGTGTTTTCAAAGAAAATGCTGAAGTTAAGGTCAATTAAAGGTCCCATATTATGCAAAATTGGTTTTATTAAAACATTTTTAACAGTCATATGTGTCCCAAAGCCTATGTATGAGCTTCACAACAGAAACATTTTTTTTAGCTAATGTTTGCTGAAAATGAACTGTTTTAAATCAAACCCGTTTATGATGTCCTAAGTTTTTCAGAGTGGCCTGTAGCAGCCCATCGGTCAAGACACAGCCTTCATCCAATGTGAGGGGTGTGGAAAGCCAAAACAGAATAAGGAGAATTTTGGTACATTCTGTCTGCCTAATCTGAGAGGAATCTTCCTGCACAAACAATCAATGCATTGGCCTCATTGTTAATATTTTTTTATTTTCAAATGAAGCATAATATACAATTGGCTAATTATTAGGAAACGTTGTGAGGTGGTTTTAAACAGGCCTGTCATGCTCTAATACCATCCGATATGATTTAAGCAGAGTGCTGGCTTTTTACATAGGACCAGGCTGGTTTGAGGC